TCGCGCCTCCGCCCCTCCTACAGTCTGGATGTGGCTGCTGCTTTAATTCCGTAGGTGTAGGACTTCTATTCAGCTTGATTTCAGGCGGTTTTGAATGATGGTTGTTCTGTAGTTTAGTTGTAACTTTGATGTCGTTGTGGGAGGACGCAATACCGTGTTTACCTACCCGCCATCTTGACCGGAAGTCTCTGAATTTTTTTTACTCGTCACCTGAGGACATTTTTGCATTTTATCTTGATATAGAGTGGGAGGGAAAGAAGGAGAAAGAGGGAAACATGGATGTGAGAGAGACACATCGAGTGGTTGCCACCCACACAACCCCAACCAGGGTCAGGAACAAACTGCAACCAGGGTACATGCCCTTAACGGGAACCAAACCCGTGCCTTTTTGATCCCCGGGCCAATGCTCTAACTGCTGAACCAAACTGGCCAGGGCTATTTGAAATTCTTAAAGATATAAAATTGCAGTGACAGAGAACATTTCCTTGGATATCAGGGTTAAGGGGTGATTGATTGATAGACCCAACTACAAAGGGATAGGGCAAGGAATTGGGGGGGGGGGGGATTGGAACTCTTCTATATACTGATTGTAGTGTTCCTTACACAATTCTATACATTTGTTAAAATCAGAACTGTTGCCCTCGCTGGTGTGGCTCAGTTGGTTGGTCATCATCCAGTGCTCCAAAAGGTTGCTGGTGCATTGCCAATTGATGTTTTTCTCTCTCTCTCCCACTCCCTTCCTGTATCTCTAAAAATCAATTTTTAAAAAATTATTTTAAAAAAACAACAACTCAGGCCCTAGCCAGTTTGACTCAGCGGTTAGAGCGTCAGCCTGCGGACCTAAGAGTCACAGGTTAGATTCCAGTCAAGGGCACATACCTCAGTTATGGTTTGGTCCCCCGCCCTGGTCGGGTCGTGCGGGAAGCAACCAGTCAATGTGTCTCTCTCGCATCAGTGTTTCTCTTTCTCTCTCTCTCTCTCTTTCTCTCTCTCTCTCTCTCTCTCTCTCCCTCCTCCCTCCTCTGTCTGAAAATAAATGGAAAAAATATCCTCAGGTGAGGATTAAAAAACAAAAAACTCAGAACTATATACCAAAAATAGTCAATTTTACTGTATGTAATTTTCAGTACATCTAGTGGTGAAATTGTCCTTCACATGCATCCAGCTTCAGGATTCAAATGATGTCAGGTCTTGGATTTTTACTGTTTCTTTTCTGTCTCTTCACAGTTTTGCTACATTCTTTAGGTTCTCTATCGTAGCCCTTGGCAGCTTCGGGCTCATCAGCATGCCAAATCTAGCGTAAGAGAAAAAAGGAGCACAATTAACTGATAGCTGAAACAGAAGTCCCAGAATTTCTTGGTTAATTCTGCACACTGTTGAACAAATTATCGTAACTGAAGGAATGGGAGAGATTCACCTGTTGGCTTATTCTAGGCCATGTGCTCCACCCCTGGATCCCAGAGGGGATTGAGGAAGAGGTAACTTCATAGAAACCACAGGGTCTGAGAGAGGGTGAGAAGCAGATCCTCAGATAAAAACCAGGGTACTATTATCTCAAGTAGTGGGCTCGTTTTACAGTAGTTGCCCTACTTGTGTATCACACTCTTTCCTACAGTGATGTGTTTTAAGAGTATCACTTGAGCCCTGGCCGGTTTGGCTCAGTGGTTAGAGCGTCGGCCTGCGGTCCTGAGAGACCCGGGTTCGGTTCCCGCTAAGGGCACGTACCTAGGTTGCAGTTTGTCCCCAGCCCTGGTCGGTTGTGCAGGTGGCAGCCACTCGATGTGTTCCTTTCACATCGATGTTTCTCTCTCTCTCTCTGTTCCTCTCTCTCCCTCCCACTCTACCTGAACAAAAAATGGAAAAATGTCCTCAGATGAGGATAAAAAAAAAAGAGTATCACTTGAGAACCTGGGATGTCGAACTCTTAATTTCTCAGTACTTAAATGAATGAACTATTTTTTTCAGTTTAAATAAACTAAATCAAATTAAAAATGTATATGATATAAAGGCCAATGATAATCCCCAGAATTGCTGAGAAAACGAGCAATTTTTTGGTATCCCACCTTTTAGGTCTAATCTGGTGGTATGAATCTGTGTTTAAACTGCTACTTTTGGGTCAGAAACCAGAACTCTAGATACTCGTGTTAAAGACTTGATTGGATCCTTGGTGAGTATAAGGACAGAGGTCATTTACTGAAGGTTGCCCAGGAAGAGAGATTAGACACAACCTAATGTCCACCAGCAAAGATGGGTTAAGTAAATAACATGTATGACTCTCCGTGGAGTGTGGGGCAGATGTTAAAAATAAGGGTATGGGACTTCATATGAAAAAATTTAAAAATAAAGTATTTAGTACATATCCACAAGATTTTATTATTATTGTTGTACATATGGCCAATAGTCACTTAAATTCACTCGCATATTTGCTTTTTTTTTTTTTTTTTTTTTTGGTCCTCCTTCCTGCATTTCCAGGCTTCATGTGGATAATTTCCTCCTGCTTGAAGGATACTCTTTAATATTTCCTTTACTGTGTGTCTTCTTATGACAAATTCTCTCAAGCTTTGTTTCTAAAAATAACTATTTTATCTCTATTTTTTTCTGAATCTATATATCTAAATTGGAGTGCTTTTTTTGTGAAACTCTATAATTGCATATGGTCTGACCTCCATTTATCAAGAGAACTTCACTTTTGGTTCTTACAGAAGAAAATCTTAAACATCATATTTCATAATATTGGGGTGAGTGTAAACTCATTTTTTCTTTTTTTATGTTTTTATTTTTGAGAGAGAGAGAGAGAGAGAAACATCGATGTGAGAGAGATACATCAATTGACTGCCTCCTGCATGCCCCCTACTTGAGATTGAGCCCAATACCCAGGCATGTGCCCTGACTGGAATTGAATCAGGACCTCTCAGTCCATGGGCTGATGTTCAATTCACTGAGCCACACTGACCAGGCCGTAAACTCATTTTCTGAAGCAAGGAGTTGGAGTATATAACTATGGAACCCCTACTCAGGAAAAACCATACTCCTTGTCCACCCATCCCAGTTTACACAGATCAGAACAAATAAATTTTATTATTTTTTTATCTTCACCTGAGGGCATTTTTCCATTTTTCTTTAGACAGATTAGGAGGGAGAGAGAGAGAGAGAGAAACATAAATGCTAGAGAGAGACATGGACTGGTTGCCCCCCACATGACACCTACCATGGCTGGGACGAACCACAACTGAGGTACGTGCTACTTGGCTGGAATTGAACCCGGGTCTCATTGGTCCGTGGGCTGATGCTCTAACCGCTGAGCCAAAGCAGCCAGGGCAATATTTGTAAGTTTTTAAAAAACAAGAAATCACAAAATACAGTCAGGGAAATGGGTTGAATTGGCAAGGGCCAGTTCTCAAAGCAAATCCCTGGATATTTGCTGTAATTCTCCAACCTTTAAGGCTCATTCTTTTTCTCTCCCTCTTACCTTCTTAAACATATTTATTCATTCATTTATTCTCTCTTTCAACAAATATTTTTAGGGATAGATACTGTAAATTCTTATAAATCAGACATGGACTCAGCCTGCAAGGAGCTTCTGGCAGAGAAGATGACAGGTACATAAATACCAGCAACAGATTGAGATGTCATAAGAGATGCATAGACACCCCTGGCCGTTTTGGCTCATCGTTTAGAGTGTTGGTCTGCAGACCAAAGGGTCGTGGATTCGATGACTGGTCAAGAGCACATACCTGGGTTGCAGGTTTAATCCCCAGCCCCTGTTGGGGTCATGCAGGAGGCAACCAGTCTCTCTCTCTCTCTCTCTCTCTCTCTCTCTGCCTCTCTCTCTCTCTCTCTCTCTCTCTCTCTCTCTCTGCCTCTCTCTCTCTCCCTCTCTCTCCTCCCCCTCTTCCACTCTGTCTAAAAATTTAAAAATCAATGGAAAAATATCTTTGGGTGAGGATTAACAAAAACAAAAAAGAAATACATAGACAAAAATCCTTCCCAGCTCAGAGGAGTAAACAATTACTTTGGTGAAACAAGGACGTTAGGGAGAAAATAATCAGGAAAAATGCCTCTAGGAGGCCGTATTTGAGCTATACCTTTAAAAAGAGAAGGAGTTTGGTCATGCAGAGTTGTTGACAAGTGACAGGTGACAAGCTTTTCTAGGAAGCGTTATCGAGGAAGGAATTGGCAAGTACCACAGTTAGGCTGAATTACATGTGCAAAAGAACAGTGAGAAATAAGAACAACTTTGGATTGCAGATAACCCTTGCAAGCCAGGCTAAGTTCTGTTTGAGAGAGACGAGTGCTCAGCTAAAGCATGTCTGAGCGTTTCTTCTATAAGGTGAAGGAAAAGAATATCTATCTATGTATCTATCTATGTATCTATCTATGTATCTATGTATCTATGTATCTATGTATCTATCTATCTATCTATCTATCTATGTGTCATCTACCAATCATCTGTTGAGGACCAGCTCTGTGCCAGATCCCTTGCCAAGTGCTTTATACACACACTCTCATTAAATCCTATCAGCCTATGAGATAGGTATCAGGATCCTTACATAACGAAGGTGCCCCCACGCCTTCAATTCCGTAGCTCGAAGCACACTGGCATGCCTGTTGTCTTCTCCGGACTGTATTATGGACGTGAGTTGGAGTATTAGATTAACCATTAAGGCAGATCCCTATGTACTGCAGAGGGTCTGAGTAATTGGTAGATCATACAGCCAGTAAGCACCTGGAGCGCGACTGGAACAGAACTAGCCACACGGAGCTATTCCACCTCCAGGCATCAGCACAGCAACAGGTCTGAGGCCAGGAGACTCCAGGAGGCCGGCGCTCGCCCCGCCCAATCGCACGCGATTGGCCACCGAGCCCTGCCAGCTGGAGGGGTGGGGCCGGAGGCGGGGTTCCTGGGCTTGCCTGACAGCCAGCAGCTAGCGCACCGCCAGGGGCTCAGAAGCTGCAGGCCGCGCCCAGGCTGAGCCTCCCCAGCCTCCGAGCCTCCGCCTGCCACGCCGCCACACCGCCTGCACCAGCGCTCTTTGACAGAATGCTGCGACGGGGCAGCCAGGCGCTCCGGCGCTTCTCCACCGGTCGGGTGAGTCGCCCCTTGTTCCCCATCTCGGCTCTCACCCCTGCCTAATTACCAGACCCCGGGGCTGAAGCGGTGGGCAGCGATGTTGAGACAGATAAAAGCCAAGACAATGTTTTTTAAAGTGGGAGACTGCAGGAAAGAGTCCGGGGAGGGTCCTGGATGGGGCTTGGCAAGCGTGCCATTGTCTTCTATGAGGAAGGGGCCAAGCACGCAGCTTTTGAACATCTAAAATCCGGCTGGGATTGACAGGTGGGAACAGTCGCTTGGCAAGAGGGCAGAGTCGGCTTCCTTTCTTTTTTTCATTTCAATCCTGAGATCCCTGGTTACAAGCTGGAGCCAAGGTACAGGACTGCGACCATCTCCTGGAGGAGAATACTATCAAGTCAGCAGGGTCCTCCTCCGTGGCCCGAGAGGTGTGAGCGCTCCCCACTGGCTTGCAGGGTCCATTCAGAGAGTGGCACTTATTGCTGGTGGCTGTAAACTCATTATTCCTGAGCTTCAGGCTGCAAGAATATTAGGCGCTGCAGGAGCAGCCACTCTGGAACATTCGTAAACTGCAGCAAGAACCAAGCCTTGGCCCAGCCCCGGGCCTTGAAATTGCATCAGCTCCTCCAAGAAATGGAAGGAGAGCAGACACGTTCCATGCGGCACTGCCTTCAGCACTTTGGGGGCCTCTGGAGAGATGTCTCCTTGTATTTAAGCAGACTACAAACTGTTTAGGGAAGAGAAAACATCCTTCCCGTTTACTCTATCTCTTTAGAGGAAGTGAATGTTTGCTGTGTTATACAAGAATTTGCTTTCTATTCATCTTCTCTGCCAAAGCCATAATTACATATGTACACATTCAAATGTAAAAAACTTGGAGGCAGGGAGACGTCCTGAGTAACACCAAGAACTGATCCAAAGTGGCATAAGTAGAAAAGCTTTCATCCCTCAGACAGTACCAAACAATGAGAATTCACTTTACCCCATGCAGCCAATTCTTGTAATTTTGGAAGCATTCATTAAAAAATAGTAATAAGGAAGAAGAGACCGGCTCTGGTAGAGCTTTTGCTTGCTGTCCGAAGCAGTGCACTGGATTTTTCCTTAGCTTTCTCCTGCCATGTGGCACAAGGGAATCTGGGTTGGATGGAAAGAGAGCAAGGGACACCTTTTATTGAATTGTCTTTTTTTGGAGAGCAAAGAGTCTTGAAGAATGAAAAGATTACAATAATGGGGTTTACTTAAGATTTGACTAGTAAATGGTGAACATACTACGTGGTAAATAGCATAAACAAAAACATGTATGTGGGGAAGTACCATGCATGGTGAGGGGTCAGGGGCCCGCATCTGACTATACTCAGGAATGCACGTCGAAGAACAGGGACGTGTGACTGGGAAGAAGGCAGGTTATTCAATGGCCAAAAGGAAGACAAGGAATAAGTAAAGAATTTAGTGTTTCTTGCTCCATAGAAAATGAGGATACATCCTTTGGACTGTGTTCTATAAAAATTGTTCAAGCCCTGCCGGTTTGACTCAGCGATTAAAGCATTGGCCCGCGGAGCAGAGAGGCCCGGATTTGGTTCCCGCTAAGGGCACATACCTCGGTTACAGTTTGTCCCCACCCCTGGTTGGGGGCGTGTGGGTGGCAACCGCTCATTGTCTCTCTTACATCGATGTTTCTCTCTCTCTTCCTCCTTCTCTCCCTCCCGCTCTATCTGAAGATAAATGCAAAAATGTTCTCAGGTGAGGATAAAGAAAAAGAATTGTTCAGAATCAGTCCGGCCAATGTAGCTCACTGGTTGAGTGTCGACCCATGCACCAAGAGGTCAGGGCATATGCCCAGGTTGTGGGCCCAATGCCCAGTGGAGGCATGCAGGAGGTGGCCAGTTGATGTTCTCTCTCATCGATGTTTCTATCTCTTTCCCTCTTCCTTCCTCTCGCTCTAAAAAAAAAAAAAAAAAAAATCAATAAAGAAAAAAATTTTAAAAAAAAAGAATTGTTCAAAATCAAACATTGGTGGGAGTATAAAATGGTACAGCCATTTTGAAAAACTGGCAGTTTTTTATGAAGTTAAACATATACCTATTTTATGGCCCAGCAATTGAACTCCTACGTATTTACCCATGAAGACCTTTTATTTACACAAATACCTATTTATGAATGTTTATAGACTTTGTTCATAGTCACCAAAAACTGTAACAACTTAAATGTCCTTCAGTTAGTGACAGGATAAACACACTGTAGTGTATCTATCCATACAGTGGAATCCTACTCAGAAAAAAAAAAAATAGAGAAATGGACTACTGATACATGCAACATGGGCGAAACTCAAGTCTGTATGTTAAATGTAAGAAGACAGACTATGAAGTATATGATTCCATTCATCTGCCATTTTAGAATGAGTAAAACTTAGTCATAGGCAAAAAGATCAATGGTTGTCAGGGGCTGGAGATGGGGGAAGGATTGAGAAAGGGATATAAAGGACTTTGTGGGGGTGGAGGATGGAACAGTTTTTTATCTTGATTGTGATGATGAGTACATGACTGTGTTTGTCTAAACTGACAGAACTGTACACCAAAAAGGGCATCTACTGTATATAAAGTATACTGTCATCTAGAAAGAAAGAAAAAACACACAGCGCTTTTTTGAATTTAGTATAAAAGCAGAATGAAAAAAATCTCTCAGAACCCAATTTTAAAGAATGAATTATATGTACTGACAAGGAAAATTATGGAACATTACACATAATATGATTTTATTTGTATTATTTTTCAAACACAAAATAATATTTTATGTGTATATTCCCATGTATGTAAATGTTAAGAAAGGTCTGTAGTATGTACACCAAACTGTACTATGGTAGTTTCCTCTGTGGAGGGGCAAGGAGACTTGGGTTGGGAATGGTGGTCACAGGGGATTCCAGTCTTATCTGTGATCATTGCTTTTTAATAAAAAAGATTTTGTGTATGTGTTATATGTGTAATTAAAATTAATTTTCAAATCCAATGCAATTAGAATACTACAGGTAATTGCTATGACTTAAGTCTTTCCTCTCTATCAGGGACTGGAGTTTGTTTCCAGACTGGAGACTGTGTCCCTCTTTACTCAAAGTCTTTGAAATGGTCTCTGGTCACCATTCTCACCCACAAGCTCTCTCCATTCTCCAGATGTTGGTCATCCCCATCTGGCCTTGCCTGCTAATAGCCCCTATGTTGACATCCCTCTTTAAAAAATCTTTTATCATTTTTAGGATGCAAAAGAACAACAACAAATGTTGGCCAGATATCGAAGAAAGTCCTCATTACTATGTTCTTTGCATGATTACGCAATAGGAAAATCCAGTTGCACAGGTTGTCCTTTATGGTGGTATCTTGAAACTTGATTGAATCTCGCACAGATTTACCTCTATGTAAAGTGTAATCTGTTGCTTCTACTAGTACAGAAGTTTGTTATAATAAAGTAACAAGGGCTTTAACATTATTCCAAACTACATCCTGTGAATATATTGAAGGCGAATTATTAAATCAACTTTTATATTCATCATTTATCTGCTAAATTCTCAGACACAAGGGGGTGCTCACTAGAAGCTAGTTCCTGCCTCACCTAAGTGGCCTGTCAATGTAGAAATAAGACTGTACCACTCTCCTGCTTAAAATAGTTCAATAGATATCATTGTCTTCATAATAAGATCCAACTTATTTGGCATAGATAAGGCCCTCCATAATAGGTCTCTTGCCTCTCCCTAGAGCAGTGGTTGTCAGCCTTCCGAATGCTGAGACCCTTTAATACAGTTCCTCATGTTGTGACCCCCCACCATAAAATTATTTTCATTGCAACTTCATAACTGTAATTATGCTCCTGTTATGTCTTAGGCGACCCCTGTGAAAGGGTCGTTCGACCCCTAACGGGGTCGCGACCCACAGGTTGAGGACCGCTGCCCTAGTGTCACTGTTGTCATTACCTGACTTCCAACACGGATCCGCCTTGCCCACTCGTTCATCTCTTCTGTAATTGCTGTTGCTTCTGCCTGGAATTCCCCAGGCACCTCCCCAAATCCCACCCTTCTCTTGGCCAACTCCCAAGATGAATCATGTAAGGTTCAGTTAAGGAGTTTCCTTTGGATGTCTTCCCTGTTCTAGACTCACCCTGTGCTCTCTAACCCAACGCTATGGTACCAATGTGTCTTTACATGTGTGTCTGCTCTACTAACTGGTGAACTTCTGAGGACAGGAATCACATCTTTTTTTATATCTTTAGTGTAAGGGTCCCAAAGAAAAATGCCAGCAGAGGCCAAACAGGTAAAACGAATGAAGGATTTGGGTTAGATGGAATGAGAGACCGTGTCCAGAGTAAAGGGGGCACCCACTGCTCAGCTCCAGCTGACTGTTGCTATGTGGGAATGTAGACCAGGGTTGACAAACCTTGTTTTAAGGAGAAATCAGAAATTCAGCCTGCTAATGTGAATCCTCCTAATTCTTTTACATATGCTCTGTGGGCCAAAAAACAAAAACAAAAACAAAAAGCACACTCACCTTATTTGCAAATTCTGCCCTCTCCTATGTCCAGAACATGATAAGTGCTCAAAATATGCTTGTTGAATAAAACTTGCACAGTGTCGGGCATGGTTTGGGGCCACATGTCCTGAAAGCTCCATTAAGTGTTAGGTATCTCTCTGTCTCAGAAAAACTTACTTTGTTGTTGTTGTTGTTGTTGTGTGTGTGTGTGTGTGTGTGTGTGTGTGTGTGTGTAAAGATCCTTCATGTAACACTGTCAATTCTCACAATTCCTAATGTGGATAGCTTGGCCTTATTTTATACCCCACTCAAATGGTTCTATTAGGGTAGCATCTACTTCACAAAAGAGCTTTGGATCGGGGCAGACTTTTTTTTTTTAATCCTCACTCGAGGACATTTTTCCATTTTTTGTTCAGATAGAGTGGGAGGGAGAGAGAGAGAGAGAAACATCGACATGAAAGGGACACATCGAGTGGTTGCCACCCTCAGGACCAGGGACAAATTGCA